AATGAATCATTATTTTCACGGCATGGACTCCGCCCTTCCATATTTTCGGGCCCGGCCCGCATAGAGGGGGTGAGTGTGGGGGACAGTGGGATACCACTGATACCCGCTTTTGTTCTCATAAGATACCAATATAGCTAAAGATTTGTAAAACGTTTGATACCGAATGCCTGAAATTACCTTGAAAAAGAATACTGTATACCTAAATAAGTATATTAGGACTGACACAGACCGTACAACCTTTTTTATTTATCAAAAAAACTAGTATTAGCGTCCAAGGACAAGGAGCGAGCCGCTACGGGCGGGTTAAGGCGGCATGCTCCCCCAGAAACGCCATTTCTAGTGTTCTTAGCCTGCGTAGCAGGCGCTTGGAAGTAGTGGGTGCAAGAAAGAACGGGTGTCTCCGCGTGTCTCCCTCGCGCGCGCCCGTTCTTTCTCGCGCCCACTACTTCCAAGCGCCTGCTACGCAGGCTATGTGTTCTTAGAGACCAATTTAAGTAAAAGATCTTGGTAAATCGACTGAAGAATACTGTGAATATTAAATAAATATACAAATAAAATAAATAGACAAATGACCTTTAATCACAGGTTGACAAGGTCCTGCCTTTGTTTATAGTGCTCATACAGAGCCCACTGCGCCTGTCCTCAACTCTAACGACTCTAGCAAATTGTTAAGCTTCCGAAGGTATATTATCCTTAAAGCTCGCATTTGGACCCACTCTATTGTACTAGGCAGATGGGCAGGAAGGGCGTTATATCAAGCCACGTAACATTGTACTCTAGGACGGAACGTAAAGGAGCGACGACGCAGATAGCCGCAAGGTCCACTGCACCGATTTCCTGGGAGACACCGCCCCCCCGCCCCCCCTTGCTCCCCTGTCTAGAACCTTGTGCGAACAAACTGTTTTGAGTACTTGTTGATCAATTCGTAAAGGGGGTAGCTGAGGGTCGCTTTACGAAACACACCCGTGGCTCTTTACACTTTGTAGCATTAAGCATCATCAAGGAAAAGTTTGGGACGCAGCTGCAAATTGACAGTGGCACTTCTTAATTTTTCTTGGATATTCTGCGATATTTTGACATACTGAAAGCCACTTGAACTGGCAAGCAATATTGGTGCAATTTGGAAGAAATCGGGATTATGAGACACACCCAGATAAACTGCTAACTTTCGGTTGACTGCATTTTGGTCATGCGAGTCTAATCCGGCAGATTCCCTCTTTTGCCAGCCCATGCGAACTTTTGGTCAGCATATTTCGATCTCTGTGACAACGTTCATTTACATAAAAAATTGTGTCTTAATATAAAAAATTTAGAAAAAAAGATAATTTATATCCTTATCGTGGAACTAAAATTCCGTAAACCTGAACAAAATTGATCCCTGATACCTGAAAACCCAAAACCCCCGGCCAGGCCTCTCTCCTTTAGAACGTCAAAATCACGTAACCGGGATGTCAGCAAGGTGTCACATTAAAATACTCTACATGAAAACTACAAGACTCCCTGTAGGTGCATTTTTAAAGACTATTGCACCCGTTCTTTGGAAACGTTTTTGTCGTACTAACTATTTTGGCCTCTTATATGGGACATTCTAAGTTGACAGCATAAGGGATTAGAGACCAGGTATCACAGGCCACCCCACCAGGTTCCTAATCTCAATTGTTGCACATGCGATTTCACTTCTTTAAGCAACTAATTTGAAAAACAGGAATCAAATTTTGCTCTAAAAATTATGCTTTGCCAAGCCAGAGAAATGAATTCTCATGTGCAACAATTACAATTAGCGACCTGGCAGGTTGGGGCACAAGGGTTGGTAGGTCAGCTCTCGAATCCTTTATACTGTACGTGAATTTTGGAAATTTACCATATAAGAGGCCAAAATAGTCATTAAACGAAACTGGTTTGAAATGAACGGATAAAAGAGGGTTCAAAAAATGCAAAGCCAACCTTTCACCTCGTTGGCTTGCTGCTTACGTGATTTTTGAAAACGTTTTAAAGGAAGGGATTAATATAGCCTGCAAGGCGTATTTGGCTGTGCGATCGAACTGAAATGTACAAAAGTGATTCCAAGGAAGAGGTTGCCTGCCCCTCCTCATCGGGTCGCGCGTTAAGAGAAAAAAACGCCTGGACTAGGATTAATAAGGCCAGTGGTACCATGCCGTAGAAAATGATCCATTACTGATACAAATTCCTCGGAGTGATACGCATTTTGTGCACTTTAAGGAGGAAAAACTCATTCAATTAGGGCATTTTTTTCTGGAGAGAAACAGAAATTTCGTTTATCACAAAGATTTTGGACGCCGACGGGTTACGTAGCCACGTGACCATAACATTACGTGACAAATCACGCTACGATTTGATTTTGAAAATTAACGAAACTGCATAACTTCAGCTGGCTGGATAGACTTCTTCCATCAAGAATCTAAAGTAAAGGTAAGCGTCTTATTTACCGAGAACAGATAAAACGGTAAATGACTAATCGTTTTTGTTGTGCCTCAAACGT